CAACAAATTGTAGAAGCCTGTAGAATGTCAATCTCCAAGAACAAGTGTGATTAACAATGAAAGCATAGAAAGTAGTAGAGAAGAGGGTTTTCTCAAAAGGTGTAAAATATCTCTGTTGTTTTACTCAGAATTCTTTTCTCAAAATTGATTGAATGTAAATTATATTTTCGAATTCTGTAATTGTGTATTTTTTATTTTTCATCAAAACTTAATTAAATAGAAAAATAGCATCAGAAAATGGCCGTTGGACATTAATAATATCATAGAGAAAATCAGGATGTATTCAAAAACATTTATTCTTTAAAACAGATATATTTTTCAAATTTGAATTGCCATAATTGTTTATATTACCAGTATAATTAATTATGATAGAGAAAATCATTTTTTCATTTCTAGTGTATCATAATTAATTATGATAGTGAAAAATATCATGTTATGAATTTTATCACACTTGTGCTTTGGAGGCTTATGCATAATATTACTTCATCAACTTGTACCTCCATATCCAGTATTCTAAGACTCTATCTAGTCTTCAGGAATCATCTTGGGCTTGCTTGAATCATCATCTTTATCACCTACGTCATAAATTCAGCTTGTCCTTAAATTCATCTTGAATGGTGTTGACTTGAATGTAGTTGACTTGAATCATCATCTCTTGGGAATGCAGGAACATTTCCATCAATCTCCCCCTCATTGCTTTCAATCTCCCCCTTTTTTATGAAGATCAAGGAAACACCTGAAATGAATTAAAATGCTTGACTCTATATAGTCAGCTCAAGATTAGCACAGATTTGTATCAAGTGTCAGAGTCTCTTAATCTCCACCGGGATATATTAATAACAAGACTCTCCCTAACTCATATGAGCAAATACTTCTCTTAACTCCCTTTGTTTAATTTAGATAGGAAATAATTTCACACAGATTTTAATTCATAAAAAAACTCTCCCTGTTTCATTGATAATCATAAAAAATATTATAAGAAAAAAATTTCCCCTTGTTTCACACAGATTAATATCATCAAAATATCTCCCTATTTCATTGATAATTAAAAAAAATATTATAAAAAAAAAAATCTCCCCTGTTTCAGACAGATTAATATCATCAAAATATTTTCATGTTTCATTGATAATTATGAAAAATATTATAAGAGAAAAAAAATCTCTCCATGTTTCACACAGATTAATATCATCAAAATATCTTCCTGTTTCATTGATAATTATGAAAAATATTGCAATAGAAACTGTGAACAAATTTGTACCTATTAGTATATAAATCAAGATAGAGAAGATAATGCATTAAAAAATGTCATAGAGAAGAATACCATATTAAGGAAACAATATCTAGGATACCCAAGACAAATGAAGAGAGAGAAAGATAGGGGAATAAAACTATTATAGAGATAATGGAATTAAATGCAGTAGTTTCTCTCCATTGCAATCTTCTTATTTAGGCAGTTTTGAAATTCAAATGCACTCATTCCAGATTTCAAATTTCAAATTCAAATTGCAACAAATTTCAAATTCAAATTCCAACCAATTCCAAATTTCAAATTCAAATTTATAATCTCAAACTTCAAATTCCAATTCAAATTCAATTTCAAAAATCTCAAACTGCAAAAATTTCAAATTTCAAAATCTCAAACTACAAAATTTCAAATTTCAAAATTGGTCAACATAATTGATTATGACAACAACAACAAAAAATTTTGATTCTGATAATCAATTAGATACTCAAATTATCATCTAGACATGTATAAATGCTTTGTTCCTTTAGGCACCCATTCATATTTGCCATTAGATATGCCAAAATGTTTTATGTAACATCTATTTGATGTATGACCTAATTTCATGCAATAAAAACATGTTGGTTTTCTTTGAAAATGTCTAAATGCGTTTTTTAAAGTTTTTGAAACTGGTTTCACATCTATTTTCCTTGACTCTTTCATAAAAATAGTTTTATGAGGTTCTAGACTTTCTTTGGGTTTGTAACCAAGTCCAGCTTTGCTAGAATTTCCTCTTTGATAACCTAATACCGAATCAAGATTTTTAGAAGATTTTGAAAAATTGCTTATTATTTTCTCTAACTTGAAAATCTCATTTTTCAAAAGATTACAATTTTCACAAGGTTTAACAACTTCTTTATTTTTAGACAAAGTTTTAGATTTCTCAACATCTTTCTTTAAGCACTCATTTTCTTTTTCAAGAATAGCAACAATATTTTCTAATGCATTAAACTTTTGCCTAAGTGCATTGTATTTCTTAGATAACTTGGTAAAACCTTCATACATATCTTGATATTCTTTAAATAACTCATTATATTCATTTAAGGAATTTGTACTACTTACTTGTGATGAGACTTCATTATCACTTTTTGTCATCAAGCAAAGATTTGTTTCTTCTTCTCCATCACTACTTTCGGAAAAACTCTCTTGTGTTGTGGAAGAATCATTATCCTCCCAAGCAATATAAACTTTGTGTTTGCTCTTATAGGTATCGTTCTTCTCTTTCTTCTTCTCTTTCACATCTTTCTTCTCTTTCTTAAGTTCCGGACAGTCTGGTTTGATATGACCAGGTTTTCCACATTCATAACAATGAAATTTATTTGTTTTCTCCTTTCTTTGTTGTCTCTTTTTCCTGTTCTTCATAAAGCGAGAAAATTGTTTAACAAAAAGAGACATATCGGAGTCCGAAAACTTACCTTCATTTTCGCTTTCGTCTTGTGAAGATTTTTCTACTTTTAGAGCTATCGTCTTGGTTTGATTCTGTTCACCGTTCTTTAATCTTTGTAGCTCCATCTCATGTTCTTGCAGCTTTCCAAATAGAGTAGCAATATTCATTTTTGTAAGATCCTTTGATTCTGTAATGGCAGTGACCTTTGATTGTCAATTCCTGTCTAAGGATTTCAAGATCTTTGTGTTCAACTCCTCATTGTCAAAATTCTTTCCTAATGCTTTCAAGTGATTTACTATATGTGTGAGACGTGTTTGGAAATTCGTGATGCTTTCATTTTACTACATTTGAAATAATTCATACTCCTGGATGAGTGTGTTTTTACGTGCTCGCTTTACTTCATTTGTTCCTTCATGTGTTACTTCAAGAGTGTCTCATATTTCTTTTGTCGTCTTGCATTGTGAGACCCTGAAAAATTCATTACGAGTTAAGGCAGAAACAATAGCATTTCGGGCTCTTACATCATAATCAGCACGCTTATTTTCATCCGACGTCCATTGATCAAAAGTCTTTGGAACAACTCCAGACTTCGTTGTTCTCATCGGAATGTAGGGACCATTGAGTACAGCATCCCAAACACCATAATCTAGTGTTTGTAAAAATATTTCCATTCTCGCCTTCCAAAACTGATATTCTTCTCCTTCAAATAATGGTGGTCTGTTTATTGAAGTTCTTTCCCTGTAAACCTGATTCTGCATAGACATCTTGACAGATCGTTTAGAAATATCTTATCTAACCAAGCTCTGATACCACTTGTTAGGATCGAGCGCTTACCACTAGGCCAAAAGCTATAGCTTTTAGTCAGAGCACAACTCTTTTTACTTTAACAGCCCAAGCGCCACGATTCAATTGTGACTCGGCCCACCTGACCTTCGTCACAGGACAATTGATGCTACCCGCAACGGATATGACATAATAAAACCTAATAAATATAAATTATAAATAAAATAATATTAGTTACTACTAAGATTTATGTAAAATATTTAGAAAAAGATAAAAAAAATAACTTTGTGTTCATCAAATTGGTTGAAAAGATTGAAAAAAAGAACAAATTGATGGGAGAGATTAAGGAAATGTGAGAAACCGAAAGGTAAGAGAAAAAATAATGTAATAAATTAATTGATATAAAAGATTAAAAAAGACAAAAAAATTAAAAAGTGGATAGAAGAAAAAAAATTTGATAAAATATAAAAAAATAACCTTATATGTAATAGAAAAAGAAAAAAAAACTTTTAAAATATTAATATTTTAAATTTAAAAATAAAGTCGAGGCGGGGACGGTAGTGAGGATTGCATTCCCCGCCCCTGCCCCCGCTCCCGACCTTTTAAAGTGGTGAAAATCCAAACCCTTCCTTACCCCGATCAACTCATATTTTCTCAATGAAACTCGAAACAGAGACGAGTAAGTACCATAATTACATGTTTAATTTTAATCTAGATGGATGAAAGAAGCATATTATTTCACACTCTCCTTTATAACATGACAACAAGTTGATAAGTGGGTGCGAATCCCACTGCATTTGCATACATACTATATTATTCTAAAAAGATTAAACTAATTCTGCTTTCATATTACAAAAGCCAAAGAAAGAACGAAAGTGTAACTAAGTTGGAAAAAAAAAACACTTCTTTACTTTCGGTGGTTCTTTTATGGCCCATTCTTTGAGAAAAAAAAAAAAAAAATGGACCAAGACTAGCTTCAACCAGATCTGTGTCCGAATCCTGCATTTATCGTTAATACTAAAGAACAGAAAAGGCACAGTTAACTAGTACAAAAGTAATTTAGCATCCTAAAATCCAAGAATTCAATCAACGAATATTTATTACCATTCTCAAGTTGCTAACTTTTTGAGCATTCACGTGGTAGCCAAGTAGTGACTAAATATAACGATTATTTACGCGAATAGAATCTGGTTTTTCGTTTCATTTTACATAAACTATTATTGAGTCTCTTAAAGAAACAGAAATTGAACCCTCTACCAATATGTATAGAAAAATATTTCCTACAAATCAAGAGAAGAATAAAATGTCAAGAACCATGAAATGGAATTCTTCCTCTCATATTATGTTCTTACCATCACCTATTCACACAAAGCGAAACACAGCAGACGCATATCTCTGAAAAGTTCAAATTTTGTGGATGGATACATTCTCCTTCTTTGTTACTTCCCTTCACTCTTGTTAAATGACTAAACTGAACATTAAGGTAAAAATAATATCAAAATAAAAACCCTAGTTCTAAAAATAATACACACGGTGACCACATAAGACCTAGAATTTAAGAGTGATCTCACTCCCAGTGCTCTCTTCCCCTTCTTGGTCTCTTAGTGCTGCCAACCCTTTCTTCTCTCCACTCTCTCCTTTCCAGCTGCCGCTCTCCGACTTCCCATCCTCAATGCTCTCAGATCGGTCGCCACCACCGCTTCGAACATCTGATTCTGGAGAGCTTTGGGTCAGTGGTGCTGTCTTGTACATGTGAAAATGGTGGTGATGAAGAGTGTGGCCGTGTGGTGGCGGCAATGATAGTGATGGATTTGAGTTATAGAAATCTTGGGACACTGGGGTGGCTGCACAGTAGTGTGGCGGTGGCACATGTGAGGTAGCATGTGGGCTGAAGAGCGTTGGACTACCGGAGTGTGCAGCAGCCGGGGCATATTCCGGTGGCACCCAAAATCCTCCAAGGAATACAAGCTGTGGTGGTTGTGCTCCTGGTTGTAGGCTTGGGGTGGGTCTTCTAGTGTGAAGCCTATATTTCTGTGGACAAATTTTATCATGGAAAAATGATGAGAATAGAGAGCCATAAAAAGAAGAAAAAGAAGAAAAAAAAAAAAAAAAGTTGGTTTCCAAATGCACATTATTATGTATTGTGCAGGTGGATATATACTAAGCTGTCAGGGAAACAATGATAGTTAGTACAGTACACCAACAAAGTGGATCTTTCATTCCTGTCTGTGTGTACAATCCAGAGATAGAAGTACCTGGAGATGGCTTTTAACTTCATCATTGGTCAAACCGTCAACCTTCATCAACTCCCTAATCTGTTTTGGGGTGGCCACTGTACAGTGACAGGATAAAAAGAAAGAACGAACACTTATTAGTGATTGCAGCAATGATTATAACTCGATTGCCTAATGATTCATTATAATTATAGTCAGGATTATGTAGTTTATAAAAAAGGTTAAGATTTAAGTAAATGATTATAAAATTGTATTTGAATTATATTGATAGTTTCGTTTGTCTTTTTTAAGTAATTTAATGTAAAAGTGGTTTTGTAAATTAGTTTAATTATTTTTAATCTTTAAAATAAATAAGAATTATATGCTTTCAAATAGAGTGTTATATCAATAGAGCCTAAATAAATTAACTGGTAATACCTTGAGATCCACCAAGCATCTGAAGAGCATTAACAAATCGACTGTGCAAGTCTGGTGACCAACACCTTCTTGCTTTCCTATGAGTTTGTCCAGTAGTGTTGGTTGTATTACATGTTGTTTGTGCAGTTGCAACTGCAGCACTTTTCCCCTGATCAACAATCCCCTCACAACTCCCTCCTTTGACTGAATTCTCCCTTTGGGAACATTTTTCTGCCTCTTCACATTTCTTCTCCTCCATTTCATTCTCAGAAGAGGCAAGGGCTAACTCAGGAAGACCCCTTAATCCTTGGCATGAGTTTCGTTCTTTTGAGAATGGTAAAAAGGCTCCCCCATTCCTATGTATGTTGTCTAGGGTTAGCTTAGGGCTCACGCTAAACCCTGTATCAGCACCTTCTTTTGATGATGTGATTGCGGATTTTGGTTTGGTTCCTTCGCTTGCTTGGCTCCATAATTGAGCTGATATCATCCAATTCGCCTTGTCTGATATGTTTGATGCCTTGTCAGTGTTTTCTTGAGAACTTGGATGCTTTATGGGTATGAATTCTTCAAGAACTGGCCTTGTGCCTTGGTTTGACCTGAAGGCCTGTAGTTGCTGCCTTGAAGCTTCCACAGCTACGCAAAATAGAAGAATGAACAAAATAAAGATTTTTATTTTACATCAAAGGATAAAATTATAGACTAATGGTTGTGTATATGCACCCAACTAATAAATACACAATAATAAGGAAATTTCAGGGTTTTGGACTTTTGGTACTACCACTATTGAGATATCATCTCTTTCTTTCTCATGGTATGCTTAAACTCATTTAATTATTGGCCCAAAAAATAACTGTATCAAAATCCTTAACTTCTCTAGTACCGTAAGAACTCTCTAATAAAAATAAAGAAGATATCTCTCTCTCACCTTTATAAGAGAAAGCAAAAGCAAAAGAGGAAAATTGCTAGAAAGAGAGAAGGTGGTGGGAAAAAAATAGAAGACCCCAATTTTAAAGGCATCATGTGTAAGATGAGAAGAGAAAAAATGAATACACAGAGTTTGATAAAGTATATTAATATTTTCATCATGAGGTATTGATGAAACTTTAGGGTTTAGGATATTCCTGTCAATTATGTTTGATTGGTTTGTTTACTAAAAAGATGATGTACCGTTTGTGAGGAGTTGCATGCAGAGAGGAAGCTCGCGCTTGAAGGCATCAATCTTGAGACGTTCCTCCTCTAAGCGAGAGAGAAATTCTTCGAGCTTGTAGGTCTGATCAGTTTGGTCTGCAAAGGATTTCAGCAGTGTGGAATAGCTGTAGGGCTTGTAATCCATGCTAAGTTCTGCTTGAGATGCCATGTTTTCACGTGCAGTTAAGGATAACCAATGACGAAAACTGCTTAGGAGGAAATGTTCATGACAAAACTGCAGGTGAGTAGGAACAAAGAAGAGGAAAAGAGGGTGTTTGGCCTCTTCCTTTCTAGGGCAAGTGGGGGAGACTGAGAGAGAGAGAGAGAGAAAAGGGATGTTATGTTGTTTATGAATACAAGGAGGATCGAGGGGGGATAGTCTTCTTTTTAGGAGTGAGTTCTATGGAATAAAGCAGGGTTTAGGAGAGAGAGAAACAAAAGAAGAAAAGTAAGAGGTAAAGAAGAAGGACGTAACTTCCTTAAACAAAATAAGAAAGAATGAGAGAGGTGATGCCAGAGAAGGGAATCAGAGAATCTGACAACAGAGAGTCTTGTGCTTCGAGCCTGGTTTTAGCAAAACTTTGAGTGTCATTGCACCCATTCAAAATCAACACTACATAAAAGATTATTCTTCTTTGTTGCTGTTGTTTTTTTATCGGTGATACAAAGAAAATTAAAAAAAAAATCATTTCACAATTTCTTTTATGAATATAATAATAACACAAGTATTTATACTCACATTTATGTTTGAATGTTATTATATTACTGCATGATTGTATTTGTTAAAAAATAACTCCTATATTCATTATGTAAATAATAAATTGGTAAGAAAAATTAATTCATGGAATTATATTACACTTATATTTACATTTTTAATGTTTTAACTAAGTTTTATGTTATTACAGTATTATACTAGATATAACAATGTACAATAAGCAAAGTGAAATACCAGTAAAATCACGTGGTTGTTGTCTAAGGTATTTGAACACAATTTTTTTTAATGAACCAAATGATTTAATTATTTGCATTTTGAATTGTGATGTAATACACAACTCAATGTGACTATTACGTAATCCAATGAATAACGATCATTATCCATGCAAACGGAGATTAAAAGAGGTTTAAATCAAATAAGAAAAATATGTTTCAAAATGTAAGATCAAAACCGTGATTGTAAACTCTTTTTTGAAACCCATTTTGAAACCGATTATATATTATACCGGTCAGTCAGATCTAATTTTGAAGAAGGACAACCAGAAAATATGGTACAGCATGGTTTGATAAGGTGGTGTTGGGCATGTGTAGGGCAACGTGGTACTTGTGGGTGTCCTTACCAATGTATGCAATTGCTGTTATTAATGATTCTACCATGATTAATTAATGGCAACCAGTTTGAGATGGGAGAGCATATACCACATTGAAGAAAGAGAAAGGGAAAAAAGAGGGAGAGAGAAAGCACATATAGTATCAATCCACCATGCAACTTTCTGAGAAAGTCCAAAAGTTGCATAATTGTCTCAGTTTGATTGCATTGAGAGAAAAAGAGGAATATCTAATTCCTAAAAATGAGTCATTCATCACAGAGAATAAAATGTTTGCACACAAGCAAGGAATATCTTACTTCCAATTCTATGACTGTAAATTACGGGAACACAACTCACGAGGGCAGAAAATGAAAATAAATACAAAAACAAAAAAACACCCTCCCTAAAAAGAGAGGTAAAGGAGGATAAGAACGGAGAATCTTCTATCTTTAGTGAAGTGGGTATGAAGCCAAGAATGTAAAAAATAAATTTTGCTTCTTTATTTCAGGGTTCGGAGGCTCCACCTTAGGTCAGAGTTAGATTTTTCGAAACATTATATATCTAAAAATATAAAATAAATTATTCACCTACCTTATGTTAATAAGTAAATTCAACTTTTGGAACGTTGATGGTGTGAGAATCGAGAGTACATTACTCATCAATCTTTTTGAATATTTTTGTTCGATTGAGTTTTTTCATATTATTTCGAAGAATTTAAACAATTTTTTTTCTTAATCTATTTTTTAAAAATAAAATTGTGATAGAGAAAAACTTCAACATAATAATATTAACAATATTCTCATAAAAGATACTACGTCGAAACACTCTTTCTCTTAAAAGTAACAACATGTTGGTGTCTAATGTCTCCTTTTATTTTCTGTCTTATGGTCTTGTTTAATGCTATTAATTGTTTTAAGACTCATAACCCATAGAGATTTAAGCTAAGGTAACATATCAGTGTTGAGTCCAAAGAGTACAGTTTTTTAGACTTCATGCATTATTGTTTGAGGTGTTGAAACTAAAATGACCCAAACTATCATCTTCTAACAAAAAATTGTTATTTAATATAAAATATTTTTTATTTAATTATTTGCTTTAATATGATAAAAATATATAAGCTAAAATTATAAATATATAAATAAATTTATTTATTGGTTATTAAATTTAAAAATCAAAATCATAAAAATTTAAAGATGATTTCCAAGAAGTTGGACGATAAATTTATACGCGACTCAATACTAGTTTTATCTATTGTTGATAAAAATTCTGATTATTTCTATTATTATAAAGATTGATGTAAAAAAATATAAACTAAAATTAGTTTTATAAATAAATTAACTTATAAAAAAGGTAATTTATCTTTTTTAATATTTTTTTCAACTGGAATTTACCAAAAGCAACACTTTATTGGTGTTTATTAAAGGAATCTAACAACCAAAAGTAGCAGAGCAGAGTGAGAAAAAAAGATAATGAGATTCTCAATTAAAAAAAATGAAAAAGGGAAAGGTTAAGTGTGCATCAAATTCCCTGTCCTCTGCTATCAGCATACATTAATGGGTGGTTCCTTTCTTTCCAACTTCACTCTTCTCCTTCAAGCTAGACTACAACCCGTACCTTTCATTGCCATTTTTCTTCTTTTTTTTGTTCTCTATTTGAAAGGAAAAGCAAAAGAAAAATTGAAGGGAAAAAACACTAAAAAAGAAGGGTAAGTGGAACTGTTGTGGGCGACATGCATGTGTCCGCAATATTCTTCCATATCCTCCTTCTGAATATCCCCTTTGTCTGCTCCATGAACAGTAACATGCAAAGACGCAGAATATTCCTTCCTTCTACCATTTCCAATAAATGATCAGATTAAGAAAAAATGTCAAGATATAAAAAGAAAAAAAAAATCTATATCAGGCAAATATTCTACACATTTAAAAATCAAAATATTTGTTATTTCGTAAATAAAACATTCATTTACCCTTGTTTCATTTAAAAACACTTTTAAAAATAAAGGTGTTAAGGTTTTTTTCTCATCCTAGAGCTGAGTTATTTTTTTGCATGACCTCCTTACAGTATTGTGATTACAGTAGAGTTTAACTATCAAGTTCAGATGAATTGATGTAGTTTCTCTATCTCTAGAAAATTAGAATTAAATATATTGGTTATTTATTGTGAGAACCTAATTTTTTATTAAGTATTCAAATTTTTATTATGATAATATTATTAGGGTCAATTTTCATATCAAATATTATTTATCTTCAAACTCTAATCGGTGACGATTTTATTAAGTTAAGAATATATATATATATATATATATATATATATATATATATATTATCATTAATTTTGATTCCTAAATTATGTAGGACTCGTGTACCAAAATATAGTCCTCAAATTGAGTAGTAAAGATATGAATACAGTGCTATTATGTTCTCGGTCCCACAATGAACGTTGATATTCTGTTTAGGAACGAAAATATTTCGATATCATTTCTATTATAATAGTATTATTATGATCAATTCTCATATAAAAATATTATATGTTTTAAAACTTTAATTTATCACGATTTTATCTTGACAAACTAATAAACATTTTAATTTTTATTATTGAGGAACTAATTTATATATGACTCTCATTATTCTTTTACTTTCATCGAACTTATGCCAACTTTCACCTCTCATTCCTTTCTATTTCTTAATTGCAAAAAAGTCTTATAATTTTGTTTAACGATGTAATTAGAAAGTTGAAAAACTAAATATGTGACTTTTATTGCATCAAAAGCTTTAGTTAAGAAAAGCAAAAGAGTAACGAATAACGAATAAGATTGACATAAAGAAAGTTGTAGGAGGGTCATTGGTACATAGTGACCAATGAAGTTCAAACATTATTTCTAATGAAAGAAGGATTCTAACTTTTAAAGACAATTATTGCTCTTGTAAAGATTAAAAAAAATTGAAGAATATTGCCACTTGGATAAACTAATTTGTTTTCCTTTCTACCTCCACCGTGCAGGCAACATCAAAATTCATAATAAATTGTAATTAAAGTTAAATGTAACATGATTCTCAACACATGATTCTATGTGAGTTGGTCACGTATAATACTAAAATCATTCTCTCATTGAAAATGTAGTAGAATTTTTCGTAATTTATATTTTATTTTGATTAATTTTTTTATCTTTTCTTGATCAAACTTTGTGTTTTAACTAAACACAATGAATAACATTAATAATCTCGTAGGACTAAAATGCAAAATGGTTTTCAAACATTCACAGCCAAAGGGATAAAAATAAATTTAACTTTGTCGAAGGTTTCTAATTATGTTTCAATCAATTCTCCCGTACTTCCACACTTTAGTTTGATAAACTCTTAGTATTTTGACAAGACTACCTAAGTTAGAAATAAAATAATAAAATAAAGAGAATTATTCCAATGCATTCTAAAAACTTTGAGAATAAGACTAAAATGATTAACCCATGTAACAAAATTTTAATTTACATTTATATATTCATTATTCAAATCTTATATAGGTTATGTAATTTTTCATATTTTATAATATATACTACTTATATTTAAGTATTTGTGACTACATATGTTAAATGGAGAAGTGCTCCACTTTTGTAATGATTTGAGGTTGACTTGCCATAATTTTCTAGTCAACCTAACAGAAAATGTTTATGATATATAATTCAAATACAATATCAATGAATTTAGTAAAAAACAAACTTACTTAAGAAAAAATGAGGACAATTAAGTAAAAGATGATGTGCACTAAAATAATATAATTTAATGGAAGAGACCAAATTGTAAAAAAGAAAAATACAAGTAAAGTAGAAAATTTTTATGAATAAGCAAACATAAAATTAATTAATTTATTG